GGATGGGGTCCTCCTTGGCTGGGTTGGTATGGGGCTGTGGCTGGGATGGGGTCCTTCTTGTCTGGCTTGGTATGGGGCTGTGGCTGAGGTCCTCCTTGTCTGGCTTGGTATGGGGCTGTACCTGGGTCGGCATCCTCCTTGTCTCCTTCATTTATATTCTCTTTATTTCTCAGATGTGGAAGCAGAAGTGGCAGAAGAAGGGAGAGCAGTTTGGCGGAGGAGGAAAGCACTTTAACCGCAGTGGGGATACTTGCTTCCATTGTGGTGTAACGGGTCATTGGGCGTCTCAATGTCCTGGCAAAGGTATGGCTGCAGCACATGGTACAATGGCAGTCTGGGGACACCAAACATCAGTCAATGAAAGTTTATCGTCTGTGTGGAAATCTTTACATTTCTCTGGGTAAAAAATCCCTGTGGTTGAGTTCCGGGGTCTGCCATGGACATTAAGAGGGGGACTCATTCTCCATGCTTCCATTTTACTTTGGGTTAGAGGACACGCACCATGGTGGAGAGTAACCGAGATGGAAACATTGTTGGGGAGAGCTCAGCACTGAACTACAAGATGTTGGTTCCTCAGATGTCTCTGGAGAGTAACATTCGGCATGTTTTTACTCCCCTTCCAGTGCTTCCTGTCCCAAAGCCCGAGGAGCCGGACCCTGTGGAGGAGGACATTGTGTTGCCATCATTAGAGGACGTGGCCAGGATGACCAACACTCAGATGGGGGCAGTGATGGGTGAGAAGCATAAAATGCCACTAAAGGGAACCCGATCCTAACTGCAAAACTTCTATTATATCCGTCTGGTGCATCTTTCTGAAATGTCCGCCCATTCCGACTTCTTTACATATACTTGCCCTCTAGATGATATGGATTGGCCCATCCAATATGCCTTAAATATACCCTCCATAATGGTACACCCCTCCAGGTGGTGTGGATTGGCCCATCCTATATGCCTTAAATATACCCTCCATAATGGTACACCCCTCCAGGTGGTGTGGATTGGCCCATCCTATATGCCTTAAATATACCTGCCGTAATGGTACACCCCTCCAGGTGGTGTGGATTGGCCCATCCTATATGCCTTAAATATACCTGCCATAATGGTACACCCCTCCAGGTGGTGTGGATTGGCCCATCCAGTGTACTTTAAATATATACCCCACAATGGTGTAGTTGGTGTGACCAATTCAGGGAGCTCCTTATATCCAGTTTGTTTCCACATGGGATATATAATCACCCCATACACTGAATTGGGGACAGGACAGTTGGTTGTATATAATAAGCCAGTGCTGATAACAACCAATCAGATTTTCTGTGCACATAAAAGGTGTGTTGTGGTTGGTTGGTATAGGGGGTGTTGGAGTGAACATGGCCCTGACATCTTTCTGCATTTAATGGATATTTATGTAACAGGAGTTTTTTTGTTTTTTTTTAAAAGTCTGTGAAGATCGCCAAGACGTGAGCTATGAAGTGGTCAGACCAATATATGAACCAGTTCCACCCCCTCCCGCCATGACGCCTCTTTATGAGTTGGACCCATCAGGGACAGTCCGAGGTATAACTCTCTTTCTGGGGGAGGGGGTTGTTATCCATGGAGGTGTACGTTCCTCTCTGGGGGAGGGGTTGTTATCCATGGAGGTGTACCTTCCTCTCTGTGGGAGGGGTTGTTATCCATGGAGGTGTACCTTCCTCTCTGAGGGAGGGGATGTTATCCATGGAGGTGTACGTTCCTCTCTGGGGGAGGGGTTGTTATCCATGGAGGTGTACCTTCCTCTCTGGGGGAGGAGATGTTATCCATGGAGGTGTCCCTTCCTCTCTGGGGGAGGAGATGTTATCCATGGAGGTGTCCCTTCCTCTCTGGGGGAGGAGATGTTATCCATGGAGGTGTCCCTTCCTCTCTGGGGGAGGAGATGTTATCCATGGAGGTGTCCCTTCCTCTCTGGGGGAGGAGATGTTATCCATGGAGGTGTCCCTTCCTCTCTGGGGGAGGAGATGTTATCCATGGAGGTGTCCCTTCCTCTCTGGGGGAGGAGATGTTATCCATGGAGGTGTCCCTTCCTCTCTGGGGGAGGAGATGTTATCCATGGAGGTGTACCTTCCTCTCTGGGGGAGGGGGTTGTTATCCATGGAGGTGTACCTTTCCTCTCATGGGGAGGGGATGTTATCCATGGAGGTGTACCTTCCTCTCTGGGGGAGGGGATGTTATCCATGGAGGTGTACCTTCCTCTCTGGGGGAGGGGTTGTTATCCATGGAGGTGTACCTTCCTCTCTGGGGGAGGGGTTGTTATCCATGGAGGTGTACGTTCCTCTCTGGGGGAGGTGTTGTTATCCATGGAGGTCTACCATCTTCTCCGGAGGATGGGTTGTTATCCATGGAGGTGGGTCTTCCTCTCTGGGGGATGGGTTGTTATCCATGGAGGTCTACCGTCTTCTCCGGAGGAGGGGTTGATATATCACCCGGCTTATAATGAAGCAGAGCTACGGATGGATCTTTGGGTACGGGTCTATTCCAGAGATATATTATAGACCACTATTGGGCGCTGCCACCGGATGTGGATATACGTTCCGGGAGCCCCTGAGACAAGTTGAGGAACATTGTGGAGAGAAGGTAGCTGGTCTAGTGGATACTACATAGAAACGCATTAGAACTTTCTAATGGATTTCCAGCATGCCGGCACTCCGCGAACTGGACTTAGTATGTGACCATGAATGATGCCACATGTCCGTGTCATTGGAAAGATTGAGGTCTCTCTCCCATTGGCTGACATAAGATGGGGAGTCGGGGGAGGGGAGCAAGGAAGAGTATAATGTAGATAATTCCCTTCCAGGTTCCAATGTTCTGGCGTGTGGAAATAAATGCTTTCATCTGAAGATAATGAAAGATCTCCGTGTGAGGAAGATGGTATTGGTCTTGGAGGTGTGAGAACGGTTTTACCCCATCAGGGGATTGGCATTTCCAAAAATGAGTTAAAGGAACTATGGGGGGTCAGTGTTTCCCCCCATAGTTCTCCTCAGGGTCACAGGAGGACACAAACTAGCGTCCTCCCGTCACACTAAGCTTGGGGGCTTATTGGTGATGGGATGGAGGGGCTCTTATTGGTGATGGGACGGAGGGGCTCTTATTGGTTGATTGGATGGAGGGGCTCTTATTGGTGATGGGACGGAGGGGGCCTATTGGTGATGGGACGGAGGGGGCCTATTGGGGATGGGACGGAGGGGGCCTATTGGTGATGGGACGGAGGGGGCCTATTGGTGATGGGACGGAGGGGGCTTATTGGTGAAGGGATGGAGGTAGAGCTGCAGCTAA